GACTTCCCCGCCAGCTCCCTCGTCACCAGTCCAACGTGTTCCTTTTACACCAGTAAGATAAAAGATAAACTTGTTTTATAATTGCAGTAAAATAAATAAAACTTAATCTTACATTGATTGACGGATGTTGTAATTATCACTGAGTACTTGATGGTAAATATTTAAGTCGTTTTTTCCCTTAGGAAACTACATAGATGACTTTCAGAAAAAGTCACGGTCCACTATGACGTTTGGGAAGACCCTGGACTACACTGATGTGACGGCGGATGACTGTGCCAAGCTTTGCGTCACTACAGAGGCTACCAACTGTCAGAGCTTCGCCTTCTGTAATACAACTCAACTGTGTCGACTGACAAGTAATCGTCCTCTCAAGAAGGGTGGCAATGTCACGCATGACGTCTGTGACCTTTACATTAGTACGTATGAGATCGGCAGCCTCCATACTTGCGTGCTGTGGTAGCCATGTGTACAAAACCCAACTATAGATTTTGGTTGTAAAGCTAGCAACTAATGTTCTTCATAATCGTGCTTTACCTCCATATCAATAGTTTCGTAACAGGCGTGTTCCTGTATGTTTCAAACAAAGGGAGGTTTATTATTTTTATCTAGGAAACTCGTTATCTATCGTTTTTAACAACAATTGGTGAAAAGGATCCATTGCATGATATTCACTTCTTTATTCACAGGAAAGTACTTCTCAACCGGTCATTCGCAGGCTAGTTCAAACACGGGCTATAGTGCAGGTAAAACTATTCACATTGGTCAGCTTTTAACAGTTCATCCTGTAACTACAATACAATATGTTAATTAAGCATACTCCTTCTCATTGATTACTCTTTCTTTTAATACCTTCACGGCGATTGCTAGAGATAAAAACATCCAACCTCTTACATTGCGCTGGTAAAATGATTATTTCATAAATGAGATCCGCGTACCTTTCCTTTATTTGTAGTTCCAAGCATGATTTGAAATTTACCTTTTTGAAATTTACCTTCTTAGTTAAGCATAAGTGTTATGTCGGACAGATAATGACGTCACACACAGAGGTAGACTTATTGCGCCCTAAAGCATTACAATATATTTTAAGAAGACAAAAGTTTAAGTACTGACAAGGAGGACGTTAACAATTTGTGCACATTAATAAAACAGAACCATTTTAACACAGGCGCCATGGCTGGTGTAGGCATTGGACTGTTCCTTCCCGGTCTTCTGATTGGGGCCCTCGTTACATTCTACTTCCGGCGGAAACACGACCAGTCTCTGGAGGCACTGGACATGCAGCAGATAGTCAAAGACTGATATGATGTTTAGGCGGATTTTGATTTCATATATTCCATGAGACTTCTTCCGAATCACGTGATATCTAGTTCGAGAGAGCGTTTGACGCACGAGACGTGTGAAAGATTGTTATAGTCTCGTATTATGTGGAAAACGTTATGTTCCGAACCTCTAAATGGAAGTGAATACCTCATCATTCTTTTTCAAAATTTTCACTAAATGTTTTGTTTGTATTTTTTCTATAACATCGATATATCAAACACATAGTGTCAGACAGAATGTTTCAGTTTCAAAAAACATTTGGGAAAGAATCACTTTTGATAAATGACATTTCTATTTTCGGTGTTATTTTTCATAAACGCTTACATGATATTTAATGCAAAGATGTATATGTATTGAGACTGAACGTCTCAGTTCCATTTCAGGTGTACTTTAAATCAACATTTAAAATGTCAGTTTGAAAGTAAAAAAAAGTCTTTTTGGGAAGAATATATATTCGAACATTATATTGACACTTTCTATAAAACAACCTACAGAATACTTGATTTTATCGTAAAAATACTAATATCATTCCGTTTGTTTAAAAAAATCATATGAATTCAGCTTTAAAATGATACAAACGATTTTGGTTTCTATATGCAATGTTTTTAATCAGTGTATAAACATTTACTTGTAATATTTGGTACATTAAAATTTTATTTAGAAAGTTATTTTTTTTTTTATCTCGACCACATATTTTCAAGCAGATATTAGAAGAATACAACCGTTGTATTTAGACATTATTGGCATTAATAAGTTTCATTCCAGTATTATTCATTGTTTCTAATACTTATCTATTTCTGTAACATGTTCAGTGCTGTTTGTGTTCACTGTTGACGTAAGATGCTGTCAGCCCTATGTCTCTCATGTAAAACGTGCAATATGTCTTTTCATCAAGACAATGAGTCCAACGCTTGTTCAGGCAAGCGTTAGATCCTTGGTAGATGCTTCAATATTTATTTCTACGTTGTTTCACGGTCATTTTCATTAATAGTTGTGTTTGTTTAACATACAAAACTGTTTACTATTGATATAGACTGTTGTGTCATCTTTTAAAGCAGCTACGTCAAATACTTTTGTTTTGTTTGTTTGTGTTTTACGTCCTATTACCAGCTATGGCCATTCAGGGACGAGTGAGCACTATAAAATCGGCACAAACACGAATATATCGCAGCCCCCCCAAATTAAACACGCATACACTACACGCATGCATCTTGCACACAGGGGAGG